TTTAACTAACAATTAATCATCGCCTACAGTAGAGTGAAGATGTGAGTTAGGGAAATAATTGACTAACAACATGACCTACACTTGAAATCCAATCTTTAGGGCTTGTTTGGTTAGGGGTATTCATCAAAGGGAATGAGAATCAACTGCCTTGATTCCGTTGTTGTTTGTTAAGCCTTTTTTTCATTCCCTTTGTTGACTCGAATGAACAATACAAGGGGGGGGGGATGAATTGTATTGTAGAGGAACTAGGGTAATTTTTGCGGAATTTAAAAAGGAACTCGAATAAAAACTAAAAGTGCAAAGAGAGATTTTACGTGGAAAACTTCTTGGCCCTAATCAAGAAAAAAAACCACGACCACAAGGGATTTTAAACTCAACTCTTAATAATAATAGGGCAAACAACCTATTACAAATTAAGACTCTAAACTCAAGTTCCTCAATAAACTTAAGCTCCCTTCAACTGATCCCTCAATCAGTCAAACTCTCTAGCTCTCTCTTTCTCCTTGCTTTACTCAAAGCAATAAAACACTCTTAGGGTTTTCCCAAACTCTAACCCAATACAACTCAAGATTAAACTCTAAATTGCTAAGTACAAAGACACTCAAGGACTTAAGTGGATTATGACTCTTTTGAAGACTAAAAGACTGTAATTTTCAAGTGCACATTCCCAATCAGAAAACCAATCCTATTTATACTAGAAAGGGGAAGTTAAAACACTGTCGTTTTCCTTAACTCCCACTAAGCCACAACTTCCATAAAACTAGGAAGTGCAGTTCGTGGGTGCTTGGGCAGCAAGCTAAAACACTTTACAAGGAAGTGGTTTACTGCTTCCTATTTTCTCTCAACTTCCTTGACCAAGTAAAACAGCCGTTTTTTAGAAGAGTATTTTCCAAGTCAGATTTTCCAAAATAATAGGATAGAATCAAAACAGAAAATCTTTTTAACTAACAAGATATTTTAACTCAAAAAGATATTTTTCGAAATAAAACAAGTTAAAATATGGAAAATAAATCTTTATCAAATAAAATTAAATCCACTTAAATCATATCAATTGACAATGTACTTAACATAAATACAAGAAGCCTAAAATAAAGATAAAATACATTAGACTCCTTGAGACACTGTGTAGCTTCGACTCTGGAGCTTCAGTTCCTCACTAAAGGAACTTGACTTCTGATTGTCTTCTTTGTTCATCCATAGCCTATCCTTAGACCTTGTTCCATGCTCCATTCTGACTCTAGAACTTCGTTGCATATATAAACCTGTCAATAAATCAAAGCTAATAGACAGAAGTTAAAACACCTATGGGTTTGCTTAGGTTCCTTAAGTCATCATCAAAACTTAAGGTCAACAATATTCCCCCTTTTTGACGAATGACAAACCTAAGCAAACTCACTTAATTAAAAAAATAAATAGAAGACAATCAGTAAAAAAAAAATAATAAATAAGTAAACTTAAATGAACTAGACAATTTTAAACAAGGAACTGGGAAGAAAATAGCCATAAAGCAAGCAAGCATCATCCATATAAACAAACTGATGTTCCTCCAGAACATCAACAAAAGCAAAATACCCTGTTTAATTGTTTACAGACCGAAAGAAGCAAAACAAAACAAAGTTTAATCCAGACCAAGTTCAAAGAGAAATAGTTTGATAACTAAGACAGAAAGAAAATAAGATTAGGCTTCAGGGGTTGAGGAATGATGCTCTTCTCCTGCATCTTCAACTAACACTTCTTCAACAACCAGGTCCTCCAGCTTCTTCATCAGATCAGTTTGGCCTTGAGAAAGAGTTGAGGTGCTCTGTTGTATGGATGAGGTAAGCTTTGTGGAATACTGTACCATATCAGATACTACCTTTTCAAGAGTCTCAATTCGTTGGACCAGAGCAGGTTGTGCATCAACCAGCTTTTGCACTGTATCCTTGAGAGATTTCAATTCCAAAGTGGAACTGACAGAGCTAAAGCCAACAAACCCTAATCCTTCACCTGCTGGAACAGAGTGAACCACAGTCTCATCAAAAGCTCCCTGTTCCCCCTGAACAAAAGTTCTCCCTTCTCCCAATCCCTTTTCTTCACTCAAATCAACCACTACAGCAGACTCTGCCTTGTCTTTCCCTTTTGGCCTGAAAGCCAACCTGGTGCTCTTCCTCTTCCAAACACTAGGATTATTTTTCTTACTTGTCATTAGTACCACCTCCTTTTCTTTCTTTTCTCCCTCTTCCTCACTTTCTTCCTCCTCCAGCCACTTATCCAACTCTTCATCTTCCAATATTTTTACAATGCTTTTAACCTGCTTAAGCTTAGGAAGTGATTTGGTGAGGAATTGGGTAACTCCATCAACAACAGTTAGTTTATGGCTTCAAGGGTTTTGGGTTGCACATAGTGGTTTGTTTTAAGCTTGAGGCTTTCATGGTTAGCCATGGAGATACCACAGCTTTCAAGGAGGGTAATGAGCAGATTGGCATATCCAACCTTCAGATGTTGGCAAGGCAGTGAGTGAGATGTTGGATCATCAAGGATGGAAAGTTTATTTGTATCTTGTTTTCAAGGCAGTACATAAGCACAACATCAAGGTGATTAGCCTCGTTCCTGTGCTGGGTTCTTGGGATGATAGTTAAATGGACAAAAATAAACAGCAGTTTTTGAATAGGAGAGAACAAATTGTGGTTAGTTCGAACTTTGGAAGCTTTACCCCCAATTGATTCAACAATATTTTCATTAGGAACAACATCAATACTTAATTCAGTTTCACCTTTAAAATACTCATCAAACACCTCATTAGGAGTTCCAAACACAGCAGCTAAATCATCAGCATCAAAACTAATTTTCTTGTTTTTAACTTTGCTAACACACACACCATTGATATTATTAAAATTTGCACAGAATTCTTTTAGGGGAGCATGAGCAATCACATTATCATAACATTCACTAAACAGCTTAATCCAATTTTGAGCTTCAAGAATATCAAGAAGTTCAGAGTACTTACTCAACTCACACCACTTTAGGTTTATACAAAACCTAGGAATGAATCGTTCAGAGCTAGCTTCAAGCCTTTTGACAGCGGTTGACTTCGATTTTTCCCCCTGAATTGGTTCACCAAGTTCCTCATAGTCCAATTCTTCTCCAACCTCGATCTTTCTCTTTTTCGAATCACTGCGAGCCATTGGTTTATTTTGGGGTTTTTCGGTATCAGCTTTGACTGAGGTTTCAGTCTCAATTTCCATTGGCGATTCTTTTTTAGGAGAGTTTTAAATTTTGGGTGAGATTTCCATGGGAATTGGAGAGGAATCACCAAAGATGAGAGTGTATTTTACGGAGTAAGGTGGTGAGGAACAGTGGTTAGGGTTTAGTTTCATTTTATAGTAGGGTGAATTTTGAGAGGTGAAATAGGTCGGTGGAATAGTGTAGAAGGTAAATTGAATATGGTAGGTGTCGTTTGAAGGGAAATGGTAAAAATGCTTCTCACTTAGTCAGATTAATTTAATGTGATTTGACAAGGTAGTCTAGATTAATTTTTTGATCAGAAGCTTTGAATTAAATACAAAGTGTCTAGGTTATTTGAATGAAAAATTAGAAGATAGATTTGAATTTTTAAAGATAGATATTTTGAGGATAATTCAAAATCAGAATACAAGATAAGATTTTATAAAGAGTGAAATTAATTAACTGAATAGACAATTAATTTACGAAAGGATAAAGCTTAATCTTTTAGAAAATATCGTAGGAACTTGGAACAAATCAACATAGTTTGTTAACAACATAGACGTGCTAAATGCAATCTGATTTTTTCACATACAGCCACAATCCCATATGCAATGCCATACATTCTAATACTCAGGACTATGTTTTCACATATTCATATTGTGTAAGACACATATAATGCATGCATGATTGACTTATACCTTGGGGGGAACGTGAGGTCTTCTTAACTCAATTGTATCATACCAAGTTCCATGCGCATCTTTTCAAATTTGTCCCTGCTCAAAGGCTTAGTAAGAATGTCAGCAATTTGATTTTCAGTATCACAAAAATCTAACTTAATTAAGCCTTTTTCCACATTATCCGTAAGGAAATGATGCCTTATGTGAATATGTTTCACACGAGAATGATGAACTGGATCTTTTGAAATGCATATAGCACTAGTATTATCACAATAGATAGGAATGCAATCATACTTTGCATACCATAATCCCTTAGTTGTTGTTTTATCCAAAGTACTTGAGAATAGCAGGCAACTGCTGCAACATATTCAGCTTCAGCAGTTGACAAGACCACTGTATTTTGTTTCTTGAATCCCCAAGAAACTAGACATGGCCCGAGGAACTGAATCATTCCTGAAGTACTTTTCCTATTCACCAAATCTCCTACATAATCAGCATCTGCAAAACCTTTTAAATCAAAAGTATCACTTCCAGGATAGAAGAGACAGAGATGGTCAGTTCCTTTGAGGTATCTTAGGATCCTTTTTACTGCTGTGGGATGTGACTCCTTAGGATTAGATTGAAACCTTGCACATAAGCCAACACTAAATGCAATATCAGGTCTACTAGCAGTTAAGTATAAAAGGGATCCAGTCATACCTCTGTATTTGGTTTGATCTACACTAGTTCCTTATAGATCTTCATCTAACCTTATGCCTGTTCCCATTGGTGTATGGTTGATCTTTGCTTGGTCAAGATTTTATTTCTTCAGTAGTTCCTTGACATATTTTTGTTGGTGAATTGCAATACCTCTTTCCGTTTGTTTGTTTTGAAGTCCAAGAAAGAAGTTTAGTTCCCCCATCATACTCATCTCAAATTCACCACTCATTAGCTCAGCAAAGTACTTGCACAAGTTTTCGTTAGTTGCTCCAAAAATAATATCATCAACATATATTTGGACAACTAATAAGTCAATTCCTTCAGATTTTAAAAACAAAGTTTTATCTACTTTACCTCTTTTAAAATCATTTTGAAGAAGGAACTTAAAGAGTCTTTCATACCAAGCTCTTGGTGCTTGTTTCAGCCCATAAAGAGCTTTATCAAGCTTAAAGACATGATTAGGAAATTGGGGATTTTCAAAACCAGGTGGTTGTTCCACAAACACCTCTTCTTCAAAAACCCATTTAAGACAGCACATTTAACATCCATTTGATATAATTTGAAACCCATAAATGAAGCAAAAGCAATTAATATTCTAATAGCTTCTAATCTAGCAACAGGAGCGAAAGTTTCTTCAAAGTCAATACCTTCTTGCTGATTGTATCCCTTCACAAAAAGTCTGGCCTTGTTCCTCACAATAGTTCCATACTCATCCAGCTTGTTTCTGAAAACCCACTTGAGCCCTATTACCTTTTTATTTTTGGGTTTCTCTTCAAGATGCCAGACCCTGTTCCTTTCAAATTCATTGAGTTCATCTTGCATGGAAATTATCCAGTCAGCATCTTTGAGAGCTTCTTCATGATTTCTTGGCTCAATGATGAATAGAAAGGCTTGGAAGGCACATAAGTTCCTCATATGTGATCTGGTTTGAGTTCCTCTACCAATGTCACTTATGATGAGATCAATAGGATGAGAGCCTTGATATTTGAAAGGCTTTGGATGAAACTCTCTGGCTGGAACTCCTATTTGAGGGACTTCTTCCTCTGCTTCCTCTGGTTCCTCTTAGTTGCCTGCTTCAACATGACCTTGTTCCTCCTGAATTTCAGGTGGAGGAACTTCAGCATATTCTTGATGATCTTGTTCGGGTTCAATTTGATTTTCCTTGGGAGGACTAGTTTCCTCTTCATCATCTTCCCTGTTTCTAACCATTCCAATTTCATAATCATTAGAGTCTTGTTCCTGCACATTCATAAACATATTAGATTCATCAAAAATCACATGAATGCTTTCTTTGACACACATAGTATTTTTATTGTAAACCCTTTAAGCTTTGCTATTTGATGCATAACCAAGGAACACAACTTCATCACTTCTTTCATCAAATTTTTCAATGTTCCTTTTACATTATTATGAACAAAGCACCTACATCCAAAAGCTTTAAAGTGAGAAATATTGGGTTTTCTGCCCTTAAAGAGTTCATATGGAGTTTTATTGATGATTGGTCTCATCATAACTCGATTTATAATATAGCATGCAGTATTGATAGCTTCAGCCCAGAAGTTCCTTGGTAGCCCACTAGCTATGAGCATTGTTCTTGCCATGTCTTCTAGGGTTCTGTTCTTCCTTCCCACAACCCCGTTTTGTTGAGGGGTTCTTGGGGCTGAGAAGTTATGATCCATGCCATTCTCTTTGCAAAACTCATCAAATCTTGTATTTTCGAAATCAGTTCCATGATCTGACCGAATGTGAATAATTTGATTTCCACTAGTTTTCTGCACTTTCTTGGCAAATGACACAAATTCATCAAAGGTTTCATCCTTGATAGACAGAAAAATCACCCTAGTAAATCTAGAAAAATCATCAATAATAACTAGAACATATTTTTTTCCACTTCTACTTTGAAAACACATGGGACCACACAAATCCATGTGAATGAGTTCCAATGGCTTTGTGGTGCTCACCATGTTTTTACTTTTAAAAGATGACGTGACTTGCTTGCCTCTCACACATGCATCACAGATATGTTTTATGAGGAACTTGACTGAGGGAAGCCCTATGACCAAGTTCCTTGCTCTAAGTTTATCCATGAGTGAGAAACTAGCATGTCCAAAACACTTATGCCATAATAAAGGATCATCATTAATGGCACTCAGGCATGTAAGGTTGTTCCTTGGGACAGAATTGAGATCCACAATATATGTGTTCCCTTTTCTAGTTCCTTCAAGAACAACCCTTCCTGTTTTGTCATTAATGATGTTGCATGAATTAGAGGTAAAATTTACGGAGTTTCCTTTGTCACAAAATTGTGATATGCTCAGCAAATTGTGCATCAAACCCTCGACCAAAAGTACATTTTCAATTGAATGAGAACTTGACCTTCCTACTTTTCCTTTTGCAATAACTTCTCCTTTCTTGTTGTCTCCAACGATCACAGTTCCTCCAGAATAGGTCTCAAGTGAGAGCAATTTTGATTTGTCTCTTGTCATATGTTTTGAACAACCGATGTCGAGGTACCACGTGCTGTTCCCCCTCACTAGGACTTGCAAAAGAACTCATTGATTAGTTTCAGGAACCCAGGTTTCCTTGGGTTCCTTGGACGTTGAAGCAATATCAGATTTTCTAACCCAAACTTGCTTAACATTCTTACTAACAGATTGTTCCTTCTTGTAACAAGTATCCACTAAGTGACATGTTTTCCCACAAAAGGAAAAAACTTTATAGCTAGGTAAATCAACATATTTCTTTTTACCTTTATGCTTAGATCGAATGTATCCTAGTCCTTCAGTTCTTTTGGTTTGAGCATTCTCAATCCATTTAGGTATACCAAGCTGACCAGTGCTTCTTTCTTTTCTGATTGCAAGTTCCTTTTCTAAATTTGCCTTTTCAATTCTTAACTCATCAAGATTGTGTTTTAATTTTTCAAAATCTTCATTAAATTTAGGCAATGATTCAGAAGAGGAACTTGACGATTTAAAGTCAGTACTGGCAAGCTTGTATTGAGTCAGTTCTACATTAACCATAATATTTTCATATTTGAGTTTTTCATTCATTTCTTTTAGAAGAAGATTCTTGTCAAAAAGATCAAAGAATCTGCCTTGAACATCAGTACGTTGGTTCTCAATCCAGGTACTGTGTTCCTTGCAGACTCTAAGAGCTTTTTCACATTCATTAAGCTTTTTAATATCAATTATCCAGTCATCTTCCATTTCTAAAATGAAATCAATAAGTACTTCTTTAGGAAGAGTTCTAATGTGATTGGGATCAACACGTAACTCTTTAGCCAGTTCGTCGTTGTAGGCCTTTTCATCATGTTTGGCCATTAGACATAGATTGGCTGTTTCTTCTTCAGGTTGTTCCTCCTCATCATCACTCTCAGAATCTCCCCAAGCAGCAATCATAGCCTTCCTAATGTCTACTTTATTGTAAGGAGTTTTGTTGCTCTTATTTTGTTCCTTAGCCTTCCTTTTTCCTTTCTCAGTTTCCCACAAAGAGCATTCACGAATGAAATGATCTAGGGACCCACATTTGTGACATACGGAATCAGCTTTTGAGTTAGAGGACTTTTTTGGTGAAGTTCCTTGTTCTATTATTTCGATTGAACATTCTTTTAAACCTTCTCACCAACATAGCCGCCTCTTCTTCATCCACCTCAGATTCTTCTTGATCACCAGCTTTGAGAGCTAAGCCTTTTCCTTTGTTCCCTTCATTATTGCTTGTTCTTAAGTGCAACTCATGAGTCATGAGTGAACCAGCAAGTTGCTCAATTTTGAATTTCGTGAAGTCCTTAGTTTCTTGTAAGGCAGTCACCTTGGCTCTCCATTTTTCATCTTGAGGGAGGCTCCTTAGAACTTTCCTGACCTGCTCATCAATAGGTATTTTCTTTCCAAGAGAAACAAGCTCATTAATAATGTTAGTAAACCTTGTTAACATTTCCTGGATTGTTTCTTTAGATTGCATTTCAAAACGTTCATATTTGGACATAAGCAGATCAATTTTAGAGCTTTTCACTTTGTTAGTTCCTTCATGTGTTACTTGCAGTAAATCCCAAATTTCTTTAGCACTTTTACAGCCCATAACACGATTGTGTTCATGAGGACCAAGACCACAGTGATGTAATTTAACAGCAATTGCATTAATTTCCATTTTTTCAAAATCTTCCTTATCAAATTCAAACATGGGTTTAGGTACTACCTCATTTTAACCAACGGTTTTGGTGATTCGAAATCACCAACTTCAATAACTCTCCAAACTTGGTAGTTGTCAGCTTTGATAAAAATTTCCATCCTGTTCTTCCAATAGGTATAGAACTTCCCATTGAACATAGGAGGACGCTGCGTAGAGTAACCTTCTTCCAGTTTCTCGTGATTGTTCATATTGCTTCCAGGAATCTTAACTCGTCAAGGTTTCATGATTTCTTCGAGGATCAGGCTCTGATACTAATTGTTGACTCGAATGAACAATACAAGAGGGGGGTGAATTGTATTGTAGAGGAACTAGGGAAATTTTTTCGGAATTTAAAAAGGAACTCGAATAAAAACTAAAAGTGCAAAGAGAGATTTTACGTGGAAAACTTCTTGGCCCTAATCAAGAAGAAAAACCACGACCACAAGAGATTTTAAACTCAACTCTTAATAATAATAGGGCAAACAACCTATTACAAATTAAGACTCTAAACTCAAGTTCCTCAATGAACTTAAGCTCCCTTCAACTGATCCCTCAATCAGTCGAACTCTATAGCTCTCTCTTTCTCCTTGCTTTACTCAAAGCAATAAAACACTCTTAGGCCCCGTTCTTTAGAGCTACTTTGCTCTTCTCTGCTCTGCTGAAATCTGCTTTGCTTTGCTCCGCTCTGCTTTGCTGAAATCTGTTTTGCTCTGCTTCAATCTGCTCTGCCCTGCTCTACTTAAAATTAATGCTTAATATTGAATTATTATAATAATAATTAATATTTAATAATAATAATAAATAATTAATATTTAATAATAATAATAAATAATTAATATTTAATAATAATAATTAATATTTAATAAGAATAATAATAATAATAAATAAATAAATAAATAATATTTAATAATAATAATAATAATAATTAATACTTAATAATAATAATAATAATAACAATAATTAATTATTGATATTTAATAAAAAAAAATAAAAATAAAAATAATAACAATAATTAATTATTGATATTTAATAATAATAATAATAATAATAATAATAATAATAATTAATTATTAATATTTAATATTTAATAATAATAATAATAATAATAATAATAAAAAAATTAATAATAATAATAATAATTAATATTTAATAATAATAATAGTAATAATAATAATAATTAATATTTAATAATAATAATAATAATAGTAATAATAATACTTATAACTAATAATATTAATTATAATAACAATAATTGATTTTTATAATAAAAATTAATATTAAGATAATAACTAATATTTAAAGATAATACTAATTATTAATAATAATAATAATTATATAATATTTAATAATAATAATAATTATAATTAATATTATAAAATAATAATAATTAATATTTAACTTTAAAAATTTAATGATTATAATAATAATGCGATAATATTAATAGTAGTAGTAGTAGTAATAATAATAATAATAATAATTATTATTATTATTATTATTATAAGTAGTAATAATAATAATAACAATAATAATAATAATAATAATAATAATCAAATCTGCTCTGCTCTGCTGAAATCTGCTCTGCTCTACATAATCAAATCTGCTCTGCTCTGCTCTGCTTTGCTCTACTGAAATCTGCTCTGCTCTGCCCAAAAGCTCAAAAGAACAGGGCCTTAGATTTTCCCCAAACTCTAACCCAATACAACTCAAGATTAAACTCTAAATAAGTACAAAGACACTCAAGGACTTAAGTG